TTTAAGAACAAGATCTCATCCTTTGCTCTGAACTATCAGGGAGGTAAAAGAAAAGAAGTAAAAGCTAATAAGAAAATTATAATTATGATTTAAATAAAAAAAAAAAAGAACAAGCTGTCAAAAATGTCCAACAATCATAAAGTTAATAGAACTAGGCACCTTTTACCATTTCTATCTGTACTCAAAATCTACATTTTGTGGGGGAAAAAAAGCATTAGTTATACTACTTGGTCAGATGTTTTTATATTATTATACCTTAAAGCATTACTAATTTTTCTTCCCCTCTCCAAGAAAAGACAAATGATTTTGCTGGCAGACAATGCGTCTCCTTTCCAAAACTCAATCCATCTTGGAGTCAACTGATCTACTTTTATGTGACTCTAATTGCAAAGAATTACCAGTGTAAGGTGCCCTTTCAGGGTTGTGGATTCTAGAAGAAATTTTAGCTACCAAATGCCTCCAATTCTATGAGACACTGTTTGCCACAATGGAAAGATGTGGAAAAGAATTTAACAGATGTGGCCTCCACGTTAGGCTCCCACTTGCCCTAATTCCAGAATTACCATCCCATGAACTCTGATGGACATTTTAGTGCCATAAACAGCTACAGACAGGTGGATCAGTCATTTTACAGAACCCAATGGAAAGTTACAAAATCTCTAAATTACAAAGTTCAGAAGTCAATCTAAAATGACCCTTAGATGCACTCTGGTATATCCTAAAAAAGCCAGAACTATTCCTATTTTCAAAGATAAAGAAATAAGGGCAGACTCCAAGAACCTTAGACCTGAAGAGGATCTGGGAAACCATCCAGTCCAACATCTTTATCTTACTGGTGGAAAAAAGCAAAGTCCAAAGAAGATGAATGTTTGAACCAAGGTTAGAAGGTATGGCTTCAGGGTTCTGATCCAGTACCATCCCAACAAGTTTTACTTTTCTTTGGGTTAACAGCCAAATCATCATTAAATTCCTCCCTTTACAGGCCATTTTACCATCTCACAAGTGTGGACAGAATTCCTACATAATGTCTAATGAGAATCGGCAGCTATAATTTAAATATATCTCACCTTATTCTACTACTTCCTGTAAACAGGGTAGGATTATCACTCCATATACAGAACACTTTCTAGATTTCCTTCATCAGGTTTACAAACTTACCTATTATCAAGGGGTTTTCTATGCTTCAGTTTTCTAAGACAAATATGCAGGACCACATATCTAAATGCATTCCACTTATTTCAGAAACAGGAAAGTATTCACTACTACCTTAACCTCCCTGGGTAGTTGCCAAGTTTACTACTACATGTAAAACATTAAGGAATCTTCAGAAGAAAAATGTTCCCTGATTTTTAAAAGTCAGAAAACCAATTATGCAGAATAAGGTGCATTTCTGCCAAAGGCTCTCAAAGAACTTTCAATTAAAACTTCTCTGCTTTTTAAAAAGTCCAACTTTTATAGGACATGGACAGTAACAGTGCTGCCCTCCTATAGGTGGAGCAAATAAGTCATGCAAGATCATAAATCAAACCGGTATAGAAACAGAGGCCAGAAACCCAAGAATCAATGAGCCTCCCTCGATACCCTCTTGAATACTCAACTAACAGATTAATCTTTTCATATGTAAATAAAAGCTGCTAAATTATGTGCCTTTAAACTTTTCAGGACTATTAGATGGAATAAAGGGGGCTAGCAAGGAAAGCAGATAAAATATTTTAAAATAATTTGTGGCCCTAATCCTAAAACATTTTCCTGTCTTCTTTTTATGAACAGAAGTGACATAAAGCATTTGTACTGTGAGTCCTTCAGCTATTAACAGCTGCACTTCAGACAACCAGCAAGGTTTGAGTGACGTTTTAAGTAGCCACTTTTTAGGAAGATGTCTACTAAGAAATGCTCTAAATCTTTCAAAGTGACACCAAAAGTCCGATAGTGGATTTGAAGAAAAAAATGTGGTAAGAGCCAAGCAGCATAAACTACTAGAAATCAATTACTTTGAATGGAACCAATTCTGAAGATTCACACATTCTCACACATAAGTATTGTTTATGCTCATGAGGATTCATGTGTGTGTACACACAAAAACATATAAAATAACTGCAACAAAAATATGCTGTTCCCGGCTTAAAGTCGTGCAATTTACTTGACCTTTTAGTGTTTACATGGGTAATTACTATATTTAAGCACACTCCCTCTCAGAGATGCTTTATTGTTAAAAAGGAAGGAAATTTATTAATCAGACGCTGTGCTTTTTTTACTTTATTATAAAAGTTTATTTTCATTTTGTGCTGTTCTCCCGTTGCTACTAAAAAACATACTACCAACCTACACCTATCCAAATCCCAACTAGACTAGAAGATGTTTCTCAGTGTGTACACCCCCTCCATTAATCTCCAACTAGTCCTGCCAATAATGATTCTTCCTTCTCTAAACTTCAACCATATAGAGCAAAAAACTGTTTACTCTGTTTTCATGTGTATAGTTATTGTTTCCTCGCCTAGTTCCTTGAGTACAGACACCTTACTCCATACTTGGGTTTGTCTCGTCATGTCTAGACACTGGGTTATATTTTTAAAAAATAACTTCAGTAAATGTTCTATATTTTGGAAGAGGGTATTATAAGGCATATTTTTAATCCTCCCCTAAAATATTGATTTTTATAAAGCTTACTAAAATGCAGTGGTTTACCTCTCAATTATTTTACAAGTACTGGCTTAATTTACTCTCTTTTTTTTGAGACAGGGTCTTGTTCCTGTTGCCTGGGTTAGAGTATAGTGGCATCATCATAATACATCACAGCCTCAAACTCCTGGGCTCAAGCAATCCTCTTGCCTCAGTCTCCCTAGTAGCTGGGACTATAGGTGTGCACCACCACACTCAATCAATTTTTCTATTTTTATTTTTGCAGAGAGGGTCCAGCTATGTTGAACAGACTAGTTTCAAACTCCTGGCCTCAAGTGATCCTCCCATTTTGGCCTCCCAAAGTGCTAGGATTACAGGCATGAGCCACCAAGCCTGGCCATTTACTCTAAATTAAGGGCACATGCTTTGCAGTTAGAGGAAGCCAGGTCAGAATTTCATCACTTACTATGTGTTATCGGGGCAAATTAATTCATCTCCCTCAGACTTGTTCCTTATCTGGATAAAAGAACTGTACTCATAGAGTTATTGATGAGATAATGCATACACAAACCTCTTACGATCTGCCTAATAAGTGGTCAACAAATGGTAGCTGTTATTGTTACTTTGTGAATAATAGGGAAAGGAGGAAGAGTAACAGAGCATTAGTGCTGGAATATACTTTGATTCATTATTAATATATGCCTATATCCATGCCTGAAGAATTATATACATATACCAAAAAACGGCATTTCTGGGAGAAAAAATGATACAGAATTTAACACTGTCAACTTGTCACTAAATAAAACTTACCCTCTATTTAAATTCTGTTCACTACTTGATTAAAATTAAGCATTTAGCAATTATAGGGCATTACTGATATGTTATATCATTAATTAAAAAAAAAACCCTGGAACTGGATTTTTGGTGGAGTAGATCAGGGTGGAATCACAGCAGGGGAAGAAGACAAATTTAGTTTCTCCTTCTATACTTAATATCTTACAAATCTGTTAACTTTCTGTTCGAACTGTGCTCCAAAAATTAAGTGACAAAGTCTTTTATACAATAACCATATAGGGTTTATTGATGTGCACTGTTTCAACATTAGGCAGGCACAGGAAACACAAGGACATTTATCTACCAGTCATCTCCTAAAGCTCAAGGGGGTAAACAAAAACAGGTCAAAAACCCATGAACCCAAGATGATAGGACACTGGATTCTGTGACCACAAGATGATGCAGAAAAGTTGGAAATAAAATCTTTTAACAAAGGAAGCAAGAAGCTCAAGACCCAAACACAAAGATTTTAACTATTCAATGTCTAACCACAAAGACTGCAATCAATATTTGTTATAAATTCTGAAGAGAAATTATCTTAAATTTCAAATCCTCAGAACCTAGCACAGTGCCTAGATAAAATATCTGCTAAATCAAAGAACAAATGTATCTAGTAAATGGTATCAATGAGAAATATAGAATATAGCAATTCTTCCTCTTTTAAAACATTAAAGTAGACGTGGGAGCTGTTAAATAACAGATATACAAAAAATAAAACATTAGAGAAAACCTAAGGTTACTCTCCAGAATGAGAGTGCCTGAACCAAATGCCCCCCCCCATTTGTGAGCCTGTGACATTTTAAGGAATTAATTCAAACTGTGTATTCTACCTCTGGCATCAATACATGCTTATTGTCAACAACTAGAATCACCAGAAGGTGCCTATACTTTAGCTATCGATACTCCCATTTCTTTTTAGAATTATAGTAACCCTCCCTAGGAATATAATGAATAAAAGTATATTTTATTTTTGTAAATTTTAAACATTACAAACAAAGTTTATGTCTGAATTGTCCCTTTGGGATGATGGTTCAGGTCTCTATCTCCATAAAAAAATTATTTCACCAGAAACCTAACAATCTCCCCTTCACAATGGAATGCTAAACAATTTCCTCAAAAAAAGCACTATTCTAAAAATAGATTATCTACATACTCTGGTTACCAGGAATCTAAGAGTTCTTTTCCACTGCAAAAGAACCTAGCCATTGGAAAATGAGGCAAAGGCGAAAACATTTGATGCACATAAAATTAAAATTTCTTAAAATTTAAATGTCTCAATTAATATCTGACTTATTAATATTTAATAATTTGTATTCATATTTTGCTTTCTTTCTTTTTTGTTTTAGACACTGGGCTATGGTTAACATTCTTCTTATAATGATATAGTTTTGGCAAAATTCTCCAGCATCCCATTCCTATTATGAGGATGGCAACAAGGAAGAGCAAGCACGTACTTCTGGAGACTAGATTCAGACACACTTGATGAAAGACAACTCCAATCTTCCCTTAAAAACAGACCCACTTTTCTGAAACACCAGTTCACTTACCTCGCCCATCGCTCTTCCCTCCAGAGCAAGTGCTTGAAAATCATGATTCAGCTCATCCATAGAACGTACCTATTGTTCAAAATAGAGAAGGGAAAAGCTTCAAGTCAGCATCGTGAATTTTACATACACACTACAAACAACTGAAAAACTTTTCTATGTTTACTTTCAGATATTGACAAGGAAAACACCAATAATCAAGTGACTGAGATTAAACATTCACTTACCTTTGACCGTCAGGGTTCAGCAATGACCCCTGCTTTCTCCCCCTCATTCCCTTTTATTTTCAAAACATGAAAAACATAAAATCCAGAAAAAGAAAAAGCAAATTCCATCACCTGAGAATTGTGTTAGCTATTTTCATACAATTTAATTTAGTAAATAAAGACCAACAAGCTGAAGAGCAATGATGTTTTAGAGATGATTATGTGAACTAAACTTGACTAAGGAGTCAAAAGATCACAGTGTTCCTTCCCAACTGTGAATAGTTAGTTAAGTGTAAGTTACAGAACTCGTTTGATCCAATCCACTATTTCTTTAGTAAACCTCAGCGAAGCATACTGCAAACCATATAACGCAGTGTCCCAACACTTCTCCATGTTGGAAGATCCCTGTAGGCTCCTTGAACCTCAAAACCAGAGGAAAAAAATAGCATACTATCAGCACCTAAGTGGACACATAGGTACCACAGTAATAGGGTATTGGGCAGGTGGGAGGGGGGAGGGGGGCGGGTATATACATATACATAATGAGTTAGATGTGCACCATCTGGGGGATGGTCATGATGGAGACTCAGACTTTTGGGGGGAGGGGGGAAATGAGCATTTATTGAAACCTTAAAATCTGTACCCCCATAATATGCCGAAATAAAAAAAAAAAAATAGTATACTATCACAAGATTCCCTCCAAATCTTACTTATTAAATGTACTCCTACCCACAGCATAACAATCTCTTTAGGCTTCAATTTACTCATTTCCAAAATCATTACTACAGGGCAATATCAACATCAAAGACCAAGTGTGAAACAGATTGTTCAAAATAGTTATAATTAAAAAAACCGGCCGGGCGTGGTGGCTCACGCCTGTAATCCTAGCACTTTGGGAGGCCGAGGCGGGCGGATTGCTCAAGGTCAGGAGTTCGAAACCAGCCTGAGCGAGACCCCGTCTCTACCAAAAATAGAAATAAATTAATTGACCAACTAAAAATATATATACAAAAAATTAGCCGGGCATGGTGGCGCATGCCTGTAGTCCCAGCTACTCGGGAGGCTGAGGCAGTAGGATCGCTGAGCCCCGGAGATTGAGGTTGCTGTGAGCCAGGCTGACGCCACGGCACTCACTCTAGCCTGGGCAACAAAGTGAGACTCTGTCTAAAAAAAAAAAAAAAAAAAAAACCTTTGTTGTCCACTAGTCTACTGGTCTTCTCAGGAACAGCAAGCCATCTCTGCTGCCTGAGACTAGAGTCCCTGCTCATCCCTAGGCAAGGGCTTCAAGAGTACAGCCCCCCAGCCAGTGTAGTGGCATGCCTATTGTCCACTACAAAGGACGCAGAGGTGAAAAGACTCCTTGAGCCCAGGAGTTGGAAACTAGCCCAGCAGTATGGCAAAACCACCTCAAAAAAAAAAAAAAAAAATAGTTCCTCATTTATTAAAGAGGATATCTCTTCTGCCTACCTGAAAAAGACTGATTACCTGAAGCAGTGGTCTCTCAAACCCACTCCATCACCACACCATTACCTCCCAATGTTGGTGGTATAATTTCTAGCAGTGGGTAAATGCAAAGAAAGTCAAGTTAGGGCCAAGAAACAGGAAGGAAGAGTATGGTGAGCATGAACCAGAATACAGTTAAGAGAATCAATTTAAGAATTTTATTAACATGCTACCTATATCACCCAAGAATCTTAATGCACCCAAACTAACACTACTTAAAAATAGTTGCATTATTGTTTTAAATCAATACTTTTGAAACTTAGAACTTAAACTATGCAACAAATAACACACACTGTCACTAAAAGACACAGGTTTGGAATGCTTGCTAAAAATAGAAATTTATAGAATGCTAAATGAAGCTAAAATTCAGTTATAATAGCACAAAGAGACAGAGGCAAGGCTTGTTATTGAGCTGTAACAATTTCAAAAGGTCTTGAAATAGGAGCTATGATCACCCTGCAAGGTGTTTATATCACTTAGGTTAGCACACTGAATAGGCTCCTAAACTGTACACAGTAAAAACAAAGCAGAGGAGGGAAGATGAGGACAAGATGTTAGCTGGAAATTCTAACAAATGTTATATGAAATGATTCTGAACCTTCAAGCAAGCATTAACACCTACAAAGCATGTAAACCAAATGCACAAAGCTCTGTTTCTAGCTTTTTCTGTAGAATCTAATCATACATTTAATTTGAGGTACACATTTCTTGGAAATCCAAAAATCTACAAATATTTTAACAATGAATATTGGAAATTCTATTCGTATTTCCCAAGGAAACTAAGAGGAGTAAGGGAAGGCAAAGAACATGCATTACACATGTTCATGTAATCATCACAACAATCTCATGGTAATTATTCCCATTTAAGAGATTAGAAAATTGAGAAATTTCATTTCCCCAACCATTCTTAAGTAGGAAAGAGCACAGGAAGAAACCGAGGCTCAGAACACTTAAATGGCATTGCCAGGATCTTAATTCAAGTCTTCCAATTTAAAGTCCAATGCCCTTTCTGTATCTCCAAGCTACATCAAGGCAGCCACAGAAGTTTCTACACCAGTATTCTACTCTATTAAGGATATAACTCTGGGAGGCCGAGGCCAGCAGATCGCCCAAGGTCAGGAGTTCAAAACCAGCCTGAGCAAGAGCGAGACCCCGTCTCTACTATAAATAGAAAGAAATTAATTGGCCAACTTATATATATAGAAAAAAATTAGCCGGGAATGGTGGCACATGCCTGTAGTCCCAGCTACTAAGGAGGCTGAGGCAGAAGGATTGCTTGAGCCCAGGAGTTTAAGGTTGTTGTGAGCTAGGCTGACGCCACGGCACTCACTCTAGCCTGGGCAACAAAGCGAGACTCTGTCTCAAAAAAAAAAAAAAAAGATATAGATAAAAACTTTCTGCTGTGGACTTTGATAAGTGGGCTATCTTGATCTTCTTGCTTTTCCTTTCCACTGTCTCCTCCCCTGCCTTCAAAACTGCCCTTGTAGCTTTTTCAATTCCTTTCTACACTATCCTCTCACCATTATTCCCTCTCTCTTACCACTTATTTGCACTCTCTCTCTCTCTTAGGTCTCCTCTCTCCCTGTGTTTTCCTCTCTCCTCACCCATTACAGCATTCCATCTTTCAGGGTGTCTCCTTCTGCCTCACCTATACAGAAACCAAACTCTTCCCCTATCCCTTGATACCACCCTCCTACCTCATATAGTCAACTGTTGGGACAGGAGCCTCACTTTCTGAAGTTTTCTTTGCTAGTCCAGAAAATCCATTTTAAACTCTTCACCCATAGTTGACTAATTCAGATAAACCAAGTGATTCTCACAAAAGTGTTTTTAACTAGTCAGGAACTTGTGTGTTTATAATATGAGCTGTATGGTCATTGACACCAAGCAGACACTCAAGACAAAACTCTTCCCATGACACAAAACTAATAGTCAGAAAAAGATGCTCAGAAATCAAGAGAAATCAAAGAATGAAGAAAGACGACTGTAATAAATATTTTAGCCTGGTAACAAAAAGGCTAAATCTTCCATCATAAAGAAGAAAAGCTGCCTGTCAATTATAATCAGAATAAATGCTCTTATCAAGGTAGAATAATCCTTTCTTCAAGTTCTTCTGCACTATCCCTCCCCTTTCTCTAGAAATCAATTTGAGTGGCAGGTTACGGTTTATTAGGTTATTAAGTATGGAACGTCCGACTTCCTTAAGTACTAAGTTTGACAGCTGTTATCTCTGACATTTCACTTTGACAAGTCTTTTTTTTTTATTGTGAAAGTACATCCTCATTCTTTCAAATGTACATTTTGGCTTGTGATTATCTTTCAAATTTTTTTTTAGAGCACTTTTTGTGAAACCATGGACAAGTCAAAAATTCATGTTATATGAGTTCAGTCATGGAACCAGTGCAATGCAGACAGCTCGAAAGACCAACACAGTGTTTCAGAAAATGTGAGTAATGAATGCACAGTACACGTTGATGGTTTGATTCGTTCTGTTCTGATGATTTTAATCTTGAAAATGAGCCGCATAGGCGACCTGAGACCAAGGTGGATAATGATGAGCTAAAAGTTGTAGTGGAAGCCAATCCAACTCAACCTACTTGAGAATTAGCAGCAAGATCTGATGTTACTATTCTAACAATATTGGACCATTTGAAACAAAACAGACAGGTAAAGAAGCTGGATAGATGGGTACTGCATGAATTAAAGAGAAATTGTCTGGAAGCTTGCCTTTCTTTGCTGTCACAACATAAAGGCGAACCATTTCTACATTATATCGTTACCTGTGATGAAAAACGGAATCTTTAAAAAACACACTGAAGAATCGCAAGCGTTCAGCACAGTGGTTGGTTAAGGATGGAGTGCCAAAACACAGTCCAAAACTGAATATTCATCAAAAAAAGCTAATAGGCCGGGCGCGGTGGCTCATGCTTGTAATCCTAGCACTCTGGGAGGCCGAGGTGGGCGGATTGCTCAAGGTCAGGAGTTCAAACCCAGCCTGAGCGAGACCCCGTCTCTACTATAAATAGAAAGAAATTAATTGGCCAATTGATATACATATAAAAAATTAGCCGGGCATGGTGGCGCATGCCTGTAGTCCCAGCTACTCGGGAGGCTGAGGCAGAAGGATCGCTGGAGCCCAGGAGTTTGAGGTTGCTGTGAGCTAGGCTGACGCCATGGCACTCACTCTAGCCTGGACAACAAAGGGAGACTCTGTCTCAAAAAAAAAAAAAAAAAAAAAAATAATGAGGATACTTGCAATTAAGCAGCCAAGACTGGTCAATAGAGAGAGGCCAATCTTCCTGCAAGAACATATCAGAAAAAACAACGCTGCTCTAACTATAGAAGCTGGAATTGGAAACTCTC